TACGATTTAAGCCCAAAAATCTTGGGTAATCCTTGTAAATATAGGAACATACTGTCCTTAGTTGTTACACGCCTACATAAATACAACTGTTTGTAGCCGTAGAACTAGAAGCCTTGCATCCTCTTGTTGCATCCTTCCTCTCGTAACCAAATTCAACTTCCTTCCCAACATTATTATAAGGGGCAATTTTATGTTGTCCTTTACACCGGCGAAGTCTGGGTTTTTGACGTTGCAAGGCCTACTATTGCTCAACCGATTGTAAAGCAACACTTGCTTGTTTTGCTTAAAGATAGTACTCCCTCCGTTTTAATTTATGTGAACCTATTTCTTTTTTGGTCCGTTCTAAAAAGAATGACCCCTTTCTAAATTTGGAAATAATTTAGCTTAAACTTCCAATTCTACCCTTAATGAGAAACTTTTTTAATCACACAAATACTCTGTACCCCTTTTTGACTTGTTTATGACCACAAAATCTAAAAGTCTTCATTTTTTCTTAAACTCAATGCCCACTCAAACAGGTTCACATAAATTAAAACGGAGTGAGTAATATGTTTCCTGAAGCGTCAGTTTAGTTCTATCTAGTTGAGTTATACGGTGCACTATTGCTTGTTACCCGATTTGCCCATCATAACGACAAAGAAGACGGTTATGATACTTCTAAATTTAAAGTATCCGAACTAGATGTAACAAAACGTGAATTGAGGGAGATTAACGACTTGGGAGATTCAACAATTTTTTTGGGCCGTGATGGAGCAAGTTCTATTGATTCTTCTAAGTTTACAGGAGTTAAACCTAATCACATATATTTTACTGATGATTGGGTTGAGGAATTTAACTGTGTGGAAGGTGGCGGTTGAAGGAATATAGCGGCTTACAATCTTGAAGATGGAAAAATTGAACCTTTTTATCCTTATCACTAAGTCGTATTTGTCAGCCAACTTGGGTCACACCGTGGATAATGTGATTTCACTCATCTCTACTAATGATTTATAGTTTGGTTATTTGTTACTATTATTTCCAAAATATCATTGTAAAGTTAAATTGATAATCGTGTATCTTGTAATCTTGGCTGATGGATGACGTATCATATGTTCTGCACTTGTGCTTCGTGGAATAGATGATGAATTACAAGATGCCATGATATGAAAAGGTTCAATACACTTCTGTCGTGAAGCTTGCGCTGCTTTTTGAGTTGTGACAAGTGCAAAGCAATCTATTCCAATATTTATATGGTCCTTGAAAGTCGAAAGTAGCTTTCAGATGAAGATCTTGAAAAATTCACTAGTAGATACATATTTAAAATTCTAAAAAGTTACATAGTACATAGTTGATATGTATGAAGTATCACAACATACATTAATTTTGTGACTAAATATATGTTTAAATTCTTTTTTCATTAACTACGTAAAAACCATCAAGCCAAAGGCTGTGAGTCTGTAAGATTAAAGATCCACTCTGTAAATAAATGCTATTGGAGCACTAGACTAAGTTCTATCAACCATCCAAAATCCACCCGAGGCCCTCGCGACCTCAACCAAATATACCAACAAGTCCTAAAGCATCATACAAACTTACTCAGGGTCTCAAACCACGTCAAATGACGTCGAAAATACAATTCACTCCTCGATTCGGACTTATGAGTTTCAAACTTTTTCACATTACAAAACTCGTACCGAAACGTATTAAATGAATCCGAAATGATTTCAAATTTGGCGTACAAGTCATAAATGACATAACAAAGCTATTACAACTCTCGGAATATCAATCTGAGTCCAATATCGATAAAGTCAAATTCACGGTCAAACTTTGGAAATCTTTAGCCTTTAGATTTCTAGTTTCCGTTAAATGGCGATAATTTGAGCTAGGGACTTCCGAATCCAATTTCGGGCATACGCCCAAGCCCCAAATCACTATACGGACCTACCTGAACTGTCAAAACACTGATCCGAGTCCATTTGCTCAAAATGTTGACCAAAGTCAACTCAGTTGAGTTTTAAAGCTCTATTTCACATTTTAATCTATTTTTCACATAAAAACTTTTCGAAACAATTTACGGACTGCGCCCCAAGTCGAGGAATGATAATTAGTGCTTTTCGAGGTCTTAGGACACAAAAATGAATGTTTAAATCAAAGATGACAGTTTGGGTCATCACATTCTTAGTCGTAAATAATCCACCAATGCACCGATAACCAAAAAACGGATAAGCAGACAACCACGCGATCCAATCGTAGACGGTAGGCTCCCATTTAGATTTAAGCTTCTTTTACAAATGTCTTTTCTCAAGTGATATAACTGTTTGTGTGCATGGTCGTCATAATGAGGGGTAGCTTTCTCTTATAAGCATTCAATTGGTTCCTTTGAGCAAGTTTGGAGCAAATATTTTGCAGTATATTTTCTGTCCATCATTTTTAATTGAAATCCATTCTTCTAGCCTTTATGAAAATATGGCAAAATGTCAATTATTTGCTCTTGTATTACTGTTCACTTAATTTTGGTCTTTAGAAGTTAGTAATAAGAATATCCTTGTTATAGTATAATAATGGTAAATTTATTGGTCCAACGCCTACCCTTGAGGTAGCTAGGATGGACCAGCAACCCAGCTAACATCTACCAACCCAATATTCCAGATTAACTCAAGTAGTACTGTATAACATTTAGTCACTCAACAGACTCTAAAACTCTAGCTAGCTAGCATAGCAGCCAGCTATTTTCAACGATTCGAGGCTGTTACGTACCTACCATTTAAAGACCATTTTCAACTAACTGTTGACACATACTAATTTCTTGTATAAAAGGGGCTCTACTCTTAGGCTAAAACGGCACAAAATACTTTTAATACGGTGCTATATTATTCGTTTTGGGTTAAGCTCGCACAATTTTTCCCAAAAAGTCTTACACGTGGGATTTTGTTCACACACTCCCAACAATCTCTCTCTTGAACTAAGTTTCACATGACTCATCGCCGTTTATGCGCTAATTTATAGATTAAATGTGTGTCACTCATATGATCCGAGTATTTACGTTCACCGAAGTCCAAGGAGAGGATGTGTATGCGTCGCTGGCCCATAGACAGGCAAAGACACTAAGCTGGGCCCTACGCCATCACTCGGCGATGTCCTTACTCGTCCTGCTAAACCTGAGCTCTGATATCAGTTGTTGGGCTAAAATGACCAAAATATACTCTTAACATAGTGTGATATTATTCGTTTTTGGACCAAACTCATACAATTTTTCTCAAAATACCTGACACCGTTGAGAGTATCTAATTACTTATAAGTAACACTTTGTTCACACACACTCCCAACGTCCGACACCTTTAATTACAAGGGGGCATCTGACTTTATGTCATCATATTTCATAATATCTTACTAATCAGCTTGATCTTTAGTACTGCTGTTATAATTACTTAGAGCTAGCTAGCTAGCTAGCTTAGCTCTAATTGTTATCAATCTCTTATAATTGTGACATGCCTGGAGGCTCCATTTGAACATCTGGAAACTCATTCACCAGTAAAATGCTTACAGCTTTCTTTACTAAACTTTTGAGTTTTCATTCAATTTATCTTACGGGGCTAGCTTCTTTTCTTTGTGCTTATTTGAATTTTTAGAGTGCATAGTATAATTTTATAGTATCATATTTGCCATTTTTCTACTGCTCGATAAACGGAATCCTCTTTGGTTACATCATTACCCATGTAAGTTTATGCGTGGATGGCACATGAAATTTAGAAACTACATTAGCAGACATATGATAAGATAAAAAAGGAAAGAAAATTAAAGTAAATTAACCATGTTGATCTTAGATAAACAGAGCATTTTAAAGTTAAAAAGTACAATTTTTAATTGATTTGCCATTGGTGCTGACCGCATATGAGTGTTTTTCTATTTAGTGATAAAAATTTGAGATCACTAGACAATGAGAATCTTTAAAAACACATTTCTTTAGTTTCGAAAGTTCCTTAAAATACATTGATGGTTTAAACTTATTTTTAAATAAAAGTGTTAAGGTAAATAGTATAACTAGAAAACAATACTCTAATCTATATGCTCAATTAGATAGCAAAACTTGATTTTTCTCCAAATGCATATAGTACTTATAAGAAAATGTTAACAGTTTCTGTAATGTTACATATGCAAAGAAGTTTTTTAAAATTAAAATAGATAAAATTTTACCTAAGATCGACAATATAGCAAGAGAGATTAAATGTATTAGTTATATTATCAATTCAAAAAAAATTATTAAACAAAATTGATCATTAATAAATTATTAATAGCTTTTCATCTCAAAAGTTTAGAAAAATAGACATCAAATAAAATTATATACAAAAAAATTTAAAAAAATAAATTAAAGTTTCTCAGGAAGATTTAATTTTAGTCCACCAATTGCCTTGAGTTGCCTCGATGGGAATAAGTGTTGATACATGCTTTAAATAGACAAAAAGTAGGATGCGAACCTTTTTTTGTCACGTCACTCGTACTTGCCCACAATCACAATTGAAATGACGCTTCAAGAATATTTCAGTCATACTAAATATATATTTAAAAAGTAATAAGGTGTTTTTCTAAATTTATAAGCGGATCAAACTGGTTTATATGTATTTTTTAACTTATTTATGCGTTTGGAAGATATTCAAAGTGCTAAATCAGTCATAACTTATAAATTGGTCATCATCAATTTATGACTTTTAGCTAATAAGCGTTTTTAATTTTGATCAATACTTTTATTAGTTTATCCTTAATAATATTTTTTAATTCACCTAATATTTTTCTAAAATAAATTTTGTAACTTCGTTTCATTCCATATTGGTTGTTCTATCTTTTTTGTTTACAAAGAAAGTGGTCAACTAGATCCTTGGTAAAAACATTTGTTTTGGAAACAGCTACCGTGCCCATTTAAGCATTATGATTGAATTAACCAAAAATATTTACTAATTAATCCAGTCTAAAGTATATAATTCAGTGGTGGAGATTCACTCACGTCTATGTTTATGGTTTTCTCCTATGATCGCTATGATTGTACCTTTGGCCTTTTCTGCAAGCTGCTTAGTAGTAGATAACAGAGTGGTCTTAGTTAGAGATTGGCCACACATTCATTAATTAGTACCAAAACCTTAGAGTGGAACACAGGCAAAAGACGAGAAGGATGCAGCAGCGTCTCGACTTGCTTGTTTTGGTGGCACTGCACTTTGCCGTTGTAGTGTTTGGTGCCGGTGGCGGTGATGATGATTTTAGCAGAAACGACTTCCCTGCTTCTTTCGTTTTCGGTTCCGGTTCTTCTGCTTATCAAGTCAGTAATCCAATTTTGATTGGTAAATATTGGATTTCTCACGATCGACTACTTTAATTTGTTCGGCCAAAATTTGAAGGTAGAAGGGGCAGCATTTGAAGATGGACGGAAGCCTAGCATTTGGGATACCTTTTCTCATGCTGGTCTGTTTTCTTTAATCTTTCCCCCCAATTTAATTGATTATATATGTTCCTCTCGCCTTAACACTACTTCACATTGTGGTTATTTAATAAATCTACTACTCCTATCAAAGTTGATACTGTAAAAAGTAGTATAGTGTTTTCTACTTATTCCAGTTTCATATCCATGTTATATAGATTAATAGTTGATAGTTGCAAAAATGCATGATGTTATAAAAGTATGCTGATTGAAAGAGTGAAAGGAAAACTTAAAAGGATTATTACCAAAACCACAATATTACCGGTCTACTTCTAACAAGATTACAACAACAACAACAATAACCCAATAAAATTTCACGGACGAGAGGTCTAGGGGAGGGTAGTGTGTACACAGGCCTTACCCCTACCCAGTGGCGGACCCAGGATTTTGTGCAAGCGGGTTCAATCTTAGAAGTATATAACTTTAGTCGTAAAATAGTAGTTGTCAAGTGGGTTCAATAAAATATTTATACAAAATTTACGCAGCTTTAATCCTAATTTATACATATACATAGTATTATTTTTTGATGAAGCGGGTTCAGTTGAACCCGTTTGCTACCACGTGCGTCCGCCACTACCCCTACCCCGATGGAGTAGAGAGGTTGTTTTCGATAGACGCTCGGCTCGAGAAACTTCTAACAAGATTAAAGCTCCAAATTAAAATCACCATCCGGACCAATTAAAATTAGTCATTTCCAGACAGTGTAATATGATTATGGTTAATGGTAGTTTTTCCTTCCATAGTCAAGACTATGCGGTTTCCTTCGGACAGCTGATTCTCTGAATCCCATAAGCAGATCTCGGATGTTGGGGCCACCATGCTTCAGATAATTAGAACAGCAAGTCGCATTAATTATCCAAGATTATATAATTTCCAGGTGCATACAATGGAGCCAATGGGGATGTAGCTTGTGATGCATACCACAAATACAAGGTATAGACGGATGGAATCAACTTTGAGTTCACATAATTGATGATCAATTTGATTGCCCTCGAAAATTACCTGATTCCAGGAAGATGTACAACTCATGGTTGACACTGGATTAGAAGCCTACAGGTTTTCCATTTCGTGGTCGAGACTTATTCCTAGTAAGCTTTATTATCGCACTGCTCAGGAACCTTACATTATCTTATACTTGTGTTTTCTTTCTTCTCATACTTGGGTTTTGTTCTGTTTAGATGGAAGGGGACCTGTCAATCCAAAGGGGTTACAGTATTACAATAATCTCATCAATGAACTTGTCAGTCATGGTTAATACATTTCCTTGTACACTACTTTTCTATCTTTTCAGTTGAAAGTTTGAACATATTTTCTTGCTGTTAAGAGATCTGGAATCGCACCTCCAAAGTGCTAGTAAGTAAAACATCTAACAATTGGCTGATGGGCTCCATGTTATGCTTATTGTATATTCTCAAAATTGTAGGAATTCAACCACATGTTACACTATGTCACGATGATCTGCCACAAGTACTTGAAGATGAATACGGTGGATGGCTAAGTCAAAAAATAATGTATGCTGAATACTTTCCACNATTCAACCACATGTAACACTATGTCACGATGATGTGCCACAAGTACTTGAAGATGAATACGGTGGATGGCTAAGTGAAAAAATAATGTATGCTGAATACTTTCCACTTGTAATTCTTCGAAAATTAGGAGATATTCTGCATATATTCTACGACATCTGACTGATTTCAACTTGACAATTCATATTATCCTTTTAGCAATGACTTCATTGCATATGCGGATATTTGCTTCAAGGAATTTGGTGATAGGGTTTTGCATTGGACAACTGTGAATGAGGCCAATGTATTCGCTTTGGGTGGTTATGATTTGGGATTTACACCCCCAGGGCGCTGTTCCCCACATGTTGGAATTGGACCTTGCTCTAGAGGCAACTCTTCAACCGAGCCATACATAGTAGCTCACAATATGCTGCTTACTCATTCATCTGTTTTCAGATTGTACAAGAGAAAGTACAAGGTGTCATCATTGAGTTCATTTCAAAATAACTTGTGACTATTACTGAGTTCCCAAAACGAAATAACAAAAAAAAAACACTAACATATTTGCAATGCAGTCAACACAGCATGGTTTTGTGGGATTAAATATCTTTGCATATCGGTTTATTCCTCATACAAATGCAACGGCAGATGAAGTTGCAACTCTGCGAGCTTATGCTTTCTACCTGGGTTGGTGAGAGCACAATTTGCTTTGGCCTATTAACATAACATATCCTCAAATTTAAGATACTCTGCACTAAGGAACTACGTATTCATTTACTGCACAAATGTGTGGTTGTGCTTAATTATTTGGTTTCATTTTATTTCTCATCTCCACTGCAGGTTTATCAGTCCCTTGATATTTGGAGACTATCCTGTCACAATGAAGGGTAGGGTCGGCTCGAGAATGCCCACCTTCACCAGACAAGAATCTGAGCAAGTTAAGGGTGCTATAGACTTCATAAGCCTCAACCATTATACTACATTGCCTGTTAAAGACCGGCCGAGTGCCTTTGAAAGAGATTATAGGGACTTCAATACCGATGCAGAAGCACAATTAATATGTAAGTGGCTGATGCTACCTGAATAGAGATACTTTGACATTTGAAGATCATAGTTGTGTTTGCTGATAAAGTTAATCTAATGATAAAGTTGAAAAAATCCATATGAGAGGAGCAATGTCACGACCCATTTTCTGAACAAGCCGTGACTGTCACCCGGTCGTTAAATTTGACCGAGCGAACTATCTGTGCTTATCAAAACTATTATAACCTCAAACTTTATATGCAACAAGGCAATACTATAACCAAATACTTTTAATTAATTTGAATATCTAAAATAAATCAACTCCAAAACTTTATTCGTAGTAACTACTGAAATACTGCAAAGTTATTATAAAAAACACCTGAATTTTAACCCACCGACTGTGCCTATGAAGCCTTTACTGATAAACTGACGCACTGTTCAGGACATGAGATTGTCTGACTAGTTCTCCCAGTAAACAAAGAAATAGCTCAATAACGATGACTTAAAGGAATACTTCACAAACAAAAGCGGAGCTCACCAATAGCATTGGAAGTGAGGGAAGTCTTAACTTGTAGCCTGCTCGCCTGCAAAATCAGTTCCTACGTTGTACCGCAGACTAACGCAGGTTCCCAAAAGAGAACATCAGTACCATCTATTGTACTCAGTGAGTCTCAACGACAGGGGACGAAACTTTAATAAAATATATATTACAAACAAATATTCTAAATGCATGGAAAACATAAAGTTTTTATGAACAATTTTAAAATAACTACATAACAACAGTTTATGAATATTCTAAAAGAAATTCTTTTCTTTTTCTTTCTTATAAAAAAAAAATACTTCACTTTATGCTTCGGGAGTTCCAACTATCCTGACTTCTTTTTATCTTAGTCACCGTGTGATCGGCACTGGTTCGATCCCAACCTGATCGAATAGGCCCAATTCACGAGGTGCAACTCGCTTCATGGTTCTCAGCGCTCATGTATCATACCTTAGCATGGCTAGGCAAATTCTTGACAACGAGACCTTCGACTCGTGTGCTCCCTACTTTGGCACAAGTAGTTTCAGGAAGTCAACGCCTTGGTCAACACTCTATGCCTGGACGATGACCCCTTCTCAGAATAGAGGATACTCCCAAAAATCTTACCTTTCTAAAACTTCTTCTTGTGACTTTTCAAGTCTAAATCTTGTTTGAAAGTGATCTATCAGTATTCATTATAATATTCTTGAGTGTATGCATAGCATAAGCAACAACAACAATAACAACATGTTCAGTATAATTTCACGAGTGGGGTCTAGGGTGTGTACGCAGACCTTACCCCTACCTAGAGGGGTAAAGAGACTGTTTCCGATATACCCTCGGCTCAAGATAAGGTGGAAAGGAAGAAAAGGGAAGAAGAAGAAGAAGAAAGAAGGGGGGGAGAAAGAAAGACGATAAGGAAAAAGAGGAGAGAAAGTAGCATCAGATAGTAACAATCATGGAGCATCAATTTCAGTAAAAGGAAGAAAAAGTAGAGCATCAAATAGTAACAATCAGGGAGCAATAATTTTCAAGAGCGATTTTCAAAAACAATGGACGTGGTTGCTAAGTACCAGATATAATAACAAACTAAAAGGAAGTAACTTTCAACCAAAAACAAGAAGATTACTAGTACTACTGGTAAACCTAGGAGAAACTCACAACTACCTGCCAACCCACCATCTTAATCCTCGACCTCCACATCTTTCTATCCCTAGTCATGTCCTCGGTTAGGTGAAGCACCGACATGTCCTGCCTAATCACCTAATCACCTCTTCTCAATATTTTCTTGGCCTACCCCTGCCCTTCCTCAAGCCCGCCATGGTCAACCTCTCACACCTCCTGACCGGGCATCTATGTCTCTCCTTCTCACATGCCCAAACCATCGCAACCTCGATTCCCGCAACTTTGCTTCCACGGATGCCACTCCCACCTTGTCCCTAATAACTTCATTCCTGATCTTGTCTATCCTCGTATGTCCACACATCCATCTCAACATCCTCATTTCAGCTGCGCTTAAAGTATTTTTAATAGTTCTATCTAACTCTTGAAACTTTAACATGTAAGATTATGTAATAAAGTATAAAGATATGGAAAATAGATGATTATACTTCTCGAGTAAAATATATAAGCTTTAACTATAATATACTTAGTCAACATGTATTTACTCGTTCCAATTAAGCACACGTTGACTCTTTAAAATATTTTATCAAACACTTTTGTGGGCATGTTTTTGTGAGTAGAACCACTTTAGTAAAGGATTATATCCACTCACTTCAAAACTCCTCGAGCCAATACGTAGGTCCCAGTTCAATTTATACCTGTCAAACAATCGATTATACAACATCCAGTGCATTTTAATTAATTTCAAAGTATCACCCCTAAAGAAAGAAGAGAATTAACAATTCAATTTTTCCCTACTACTATTGTAGGATAGTTGACAATAGAAAATTTTATATACCTGAGTTCAATAACTAGTGATTTGTAAAGAAACCCAGAACTTTTAGTTGCCTGCGTGAGTATGTTTCGTGGTTGCCTCTGTTTGTAGCGTTCTGTTTACTTTTCTTTGTATAAGGCTTTTTAAGCCTTTTGCCTTTTAAAAGGAAAATACGTTTCTTGCCATTTCGTCCAAGGCTTTAAGCCTTTGCTTACAACACTACTTTATGAGCTTCAGGTTAATCCTTATGTGCTCTTTTTTTTTTTTTTTGTTCTTTTGTTCTTTTGTTTTTTGTTTGTTTTGACTTAACTATTAATTAATGATACTCACTTTTAATAATTAATAATATAAAAATTATTAATATTTCCCTAATTGTACATCCAATTATTTATAAATAGAGAAGTAACTCAAAAGTCAATAACAAGGGTTTAAATCCGTAATAGAAGTATAATTTTTATGCACTCAAGTCAAGATAAAAAAAAAATCAAATTCTATATTGAGCGTGTCTTGAAAGTTTTATAGATTTGAGGAATGTTACAAGCAATGCAAGTTTTCTAGTTGATGTCGTCAGTATTTCTCTGTTATGGAATTGTTCATATCAAGAAATTCACTACTTTATCTCTTTAAACAGTTGAGCAAGCTGGTGTTACACCCAAAGGCGAGGTGAGGCTTGGGACATGCATGATCTTTAGATGCACCTTAGCGTTATTTTATCTGTTATTCACAAGTTGTTTTGACTCAGTATCCATGGACACAACCGGGTCTCTAAGCAGTATTGGAGTACTTCAAGAAAACTTATGGCAACCTACCAATTTACATTCATGAAAATGGTTCGTTTTTCTCCCTCTCTTGACGCTTGTGAATATTTGAGTACATGAAAGTTGCTTTAGAGGCTTTGACAACTCAGTAAAGCACAGAGCTTTCTTTGAACCTCATGAATCAGTGTTTTCTGAGAAGCTTAGCATGATTTCTGTTGGCAGGTCAGACGACGCCACGAAACGCGACACTAAATGATACGGGTAGAGTAGAATATCTGCATGCTTATATCAGGAATTTGCTTGATGCTATGAGGTAAGCCCCTCCCACGTCATGGAAGCATTTGTTATTAGTTATAACTCATTGACTGCAGAACTATAGACTTGTTCCTTATGTCTTCGGTTAAAAGAACACTAGTCTGAACTTGCATATTTGTATAGTTAATCTTCATATTCTAGCCATTGATCAGGATGTGTTTCTTTTTCTCATACTCTGTGTGGGTTGGCTTTTTAACACTTGTTGCCGCAGAAAGGTTTTGTATCATCTAATCAATTTAAAATGTCTTCTCTGTCCTAAACTATTTGAGCTGATCTTCACTAGTATTATCTTTTGGATGGAGGGTCTAACAATTATATTAGGTGTTTTTGGCCGTTCTTTCTGATATGTTTGCCATTTATCCCCACAATACCTTGTTATGATATGATAGGAATGGATCAAATGTCAGAGGCTACTTCTCATGGTCATTCTTGGATGGTTTGGAGTTATTGGATGGATATGAATCGGCATATGGCCTATACTACGTGGATTTGGACGACAAAAATTTAACAAGATATCCAAAGCTTTCTCAACAATGGTACTCCAATTTCTTAAAGGGAAAAAGTCGCAAATCTAATGTGAATCTTGAAATTGGGAAGGAAGTAATCTCATTCTTCAGAGTCTGAATTTTCTTCATAATTATATCGTGGTTGTATGTCAACCTAACTATGGGATTCCTAGTTATTATTTCTGCCAGTCCTTGCATACAATAATACATCAGCTGACTTTTCCTTCTAAAGTGGTTGCTTACTTTGGTGATATGCTATGTTTTTTTTCCACGTTGCCATTTGTTCACGGTGTAAAGACCAATCCCAATAGTAAAGTAGTAGTAATTTGGTTTTGGGAAAACCTCGAGGCTCATTCTAGTTCACAACTTGGAAAAGCAAGTAACTTAATAAGGTAACTATCATTAATTACGATCCTAGAACAAAAGGGTGTTGGAGTTACATGAAGTGCATTTGGGCCTGGCCCAGTTTATTTATGAACGGTTGTAGAGCCTTAGTCTTAGTTAGTCTTAGTTTTATTCATTGAGTTGTAAATGAGGCCCAAAATATATAAGAGAGGCAGAGAATATTCCAGATCAATTTTGGTCAGATTTTTTAGTACAGAATGCAAGTTCTTTTCTCCTGTTTCTCTTCCTCTTTACATTTCACAAAACCCTAACTACAATCTGTCAATTTCTTTCGATTTTAATGGCTTAACATGGCATCTGTCACGACCCAAAACTAACCCATGTCGTGATGGCGCCTATCGTGGAACTAGGCAAGCCGACTCATTTCCAAAACAAATCGATATTTTCATTTTAAAGATAATTTCAAGGTTATTTAACATAAACCTTCATTTAAAGAGTTCAAATCAAAGAAAACAGAAGTGCAGAAAAGAAAAGCCCGACATCGGGGTATCACTAGTCATGAGCACATACTACAATCTGTCTAACAATATCAAGGCTAACTTAGCCCGGAAAATAGCTAAATACAACTAGAGGAAGATAAGAGGGAGAAGAGCAGGGGCTGCGATCGCCAAACAGCTACCTT